CTTATGGTGCACCTCATTTAGCAAGACATCCAGTGACATCCAAGGATTTTTACCTGATGGTGCTTTACACTCGCCCGGGTGTGACCGTGTTCGGGGTGTCGGATCTCCCGCCCAAGACCTTCGACGCTCTTAGGAGAGCCTGCTCTGAAAACGAGCAGACTCTGGATAGTGTTGCATAGGTCGTGCCTAGAGCTGGAAGTAGCAGGTCGGGACGGGGCACTTAAGCTACTGGCCGACCTTAAGGTAATGTAAGCTTACATTGCCGCCCGTTGGCTGGTCCGCGAGTTTTAGGTCTTGGGTCCGGAGCGGCGGTAAGTGCCTGGACCTTTTGATAGGAATATTTATTGGCTTCACTGGCGGCTTCTCGCTGGCGGCGGTCCCCAATATGCTCTGCCTATGTACGCCTCTTCGTCCTCCTCCTTGCATCTATGCTGCAGCTGTGTGCCTTATCCTTAGGTCTAGGTTTCTACACAAGGCATGTTTTGGTGTGTCAATGTTGATAATTGGGCATTCACAAGTGATTGGTGAAGACATGTATGTTTGCGTGTGTAGACAGGCGAGACAGGTGCAGGTTACCCTGTCTGTTACCCATCAGTAGTGTATTACCCCAACCCCTTTGTTACCCCTCGGTAAGGGGTTACCCCTACCCCGGGGTTAGGTTACCCACCTCCCTTCGTACATAGCCACATGGGTAACCCCTAACCCTACACCCTGGGTTACGCTTAAGGGGGGGTTACCCCCCGTTTTATGCCATAGGGTAGGAATAACTTCTACCAATGACCAGATAAGTAAACGATTTCACCGGGGTGCGTTGGCATGGGCAAAGGAGCAGCTGGCCCACATCACCGACTACAATGATAAGGTGGCAGAAGTGCGGGCACGAATCTTGTCGACCTGGCCGAAAAAGGAACAAATTGGTGAAGCCATTACTGGGCAAAAACTCTAGGGTTTCGGAGGTCGAGTCCTGCCAAGGTTTCACTGGGAGCAGGTGGCATATATGGACCTACTTGAGGTGCATCAATCCTAATGCTGATAGTAACAACTGTCATTTCTTGTTCTTGACAACGACAGATTTGTGACCAGGAACTCTTTGGTGTCCCAAAGAGACTGGATGGCGACATCGACGTGCTTACATGGACTGGTTCACTCCAGTCCATGACAATGCATAACACAGGCAACAGCTTGGGACGTGGTGCCAGTGGTGATGAGCAGCTTTTCGGGGTGAGTTCTGTCTTCCAGTCTTTCAGTCTCTCAGTCTCTTAGTCTCCCAGACTCCCAGCATCCCAGGCTCCCAACCTCACAAGCTCCTAGGCTCCCAGCCTAACTGTAGCAGCTAACCGCTGAAAAGGTCTCTCGAGTTGCTGGCGGTCGCACTCTGTGTGTATTTATAGCACTGTACTGTGTACCGGCTGCTACATTCCCCCCACTTTGACGGGAACCGTCCCAGGCCCTTAGAGCCTCGTATCCTGCCAGCCTGTGCCTACCTTCGCCTACCCTCGGGCAGTGGGTAATTACTCCACGTCACATCATGTGCCGGCTCACATGCGCCTAGCCGTCTTCAGGTTTTTCAGGCACAGAGACAGTCCAGTCGGTTCACCTACTTTTATTATTTGTATGATATTCGGTCTCTGAGTCGCCAAACCCGAAATCCACTCAAGCGTGATTGGTGGGGGTTGAACCGACGACTTCAGGAACGTGAGTTTTCACGAGGTCTCGATACCAAATGTAGCAGCTGACCGCTGAAAAGGTCTCTCGAGTTGCTGGCGGTCACACTCTGTGCGTATTTATAGCACCGTACTGTGTACCGGCTGCTACACTAACAGCCACCCAGGCTCCCAGTCTCCCAGCCTCACAGGTTTCTAGTCTCCCAATCCCCCAGGCTACCAGGCTACCAGTCACCCACACTCCCAGCCTGCCAGTGTCCCAGTCATCCAGGCCCCTAGGGTCCCAGTCTCCCAGTCCCCCAGGTTCCTAGGCTCTCAGGCTCCCAGTCTACCAGTAACCCAGACTCCCAGATTTCCATGTTCACACAATTTTGAGTGAACCAGTCCATGTAAGCAGGTCGATGTCGCCATCCAGTCTCTTTGGGACACCAAGGAGTTCCTGGTCACAAAACTGTCGGTGTCAAGAACAAGAAATGACAGTTGTTACTATTGGCATTAGGATTGACACACCTCAAGTAGGTCGATATATGCCACCTGCTCCCAGTGAAACCTTGGCAGGACTCGACCTCCAAAGAGCTTTTGCCCAGTAATGGCTTCACCAATTTGTTCCTTTTTCGGCCAGGTCGACAAGATTCGTGCCCGCACTTCTGCCACCTTATCATTGTAGTCGGTGATGTGGGCCAGCTGCTCCTTTGCCCATGCCAATGCACCCCGGTGAAATCGTTTACTTATCTGGTCATTGTAGAAGTTATTCCTAGTAGGGTTGCAAGTGTTGCGCTCAGCAACGGGACAATAGCACACTCTGGGAAAACGGGGGTCATTTTACCCGTAATTTTGGGTCAATCCACCCGTAATTTGACAGATATTACGGGTCCGTAACACGTTACGGGTCTCGTAATTTGAGCACAAGGATACAGGTGAACATTTACGGGTGAAGACCCAGTGATTACGGGTGGATTTTACGCGGTGCTGGAGGTGAATTACAGGCGCATGTAACCAATTACACGCAGAATTACGGGTGAAGACCCAATGATTACGGGTGGATTTTACACGGTGCTGGAGGTGAATTACGGTCACATGTAACCAATTACACGCGAAATTACGGGTGAAGACCCAGTGATTACGGGTGGATTTTACGCGGTGCTGGAGGTGAATTACGGGCACATGTAACCAATTACACGCGAAATTACGGGTGAAGACCCAGTGATTACGGGTGGATTTTACGCGGTGCTGGAGGTGAATTACGGGCGCATGTAACCAATTACACGCGAAATTACGGGTGAAGACCCAGTGATTACGGGTGGATTTTACGCGGTGCTGGAGGTGAAATACAGGCACATGTAACCAATTACACGCGAAATTACGGGTGAAGACCCAGTGATTACGGGTGGATTTTACGCGGTGCTGAAGGTGAATTACGGGCGCATGTAACCAATTACACGCAGAATTACGGGTGAAGACCCAGTGATTACGGGTGGATTTTACGCGGTGCTGGAGGTGAAATACGGGCACATGTAACCAATTACACGCAAAATTACGGGTGAAGACCCAGTGATTACGGGTTACACAGGCAGATATTACTCTGCGATGTGACGCTTACTGCATGTTAAATTAACGATTGGTGAATACTTGCGGCAAGCCTCAAAATGGACGCACACCCCTTGTCAAAGTAGCCTAAGTCTCAGTGTGCTTGTGGACCAAGGCGCTTTGGACTCACAACGCCAACCAGCCAGCCTGACAGCCTGATGCATTCATCTCAACCATCGTCCTCGAAAACAGCGTTCATGTCACCCCCCATACAGCAAGTGCTCGCCAAG